AGGCTGTGCCTTCAGTGTAGAGAGGATGCTAGGAGGGAAACCATGCCCCAGATGGAGTCAAGTGGTCCCCAGCTTAGCCCCTGGGTTTGGAACTTGGGCATCAGAGTGAAATGATGTAGTGGGCAGGCTCTGGGTGAAGCAGACCTGAATTCAAATCCTGACTGTCATTTACTAGCTGCCTAGTCTTGGTTAAACTACTTAATGTCTCTTTGCCTCAGTTTCCCTCTCTTTCACATAGGTATCACAGTCCTGGCCTCATGGGGTTTTGGGGAGGATTCAGTGGCATGTGATAAACTGAGTACTGTGAGCTGCTAATGGATGGTGGCTGGGTAGGGGACAGCAGGAGAACAGGGCTAAATCTTCCACATGTGGAGACTGACTAGCACAGGGTCCTTTCCTCACTCAGGCAGGGTGCAGGGTGAGGTCTTACTAAACCTAAGCAACTGAATTTTCCAGCTTTAATCTAAACACATGGCCTGGCAATGGGAAAGAATATTAAAAATCAGAACTGTCCTGTAGAGCCCAGGACATGTGGCCACCATACTCCAGCCCTCTTCTTGGAGCCCTGACAAGGAGTTCGCTGACAAGGGGTTGGCTTATCTCATCACGATAAAGGCCCAGGGCCTCCTCCTATCATTTTGGAAGGCCTTCTCTGGAACCAGCTCCCACCACCACGGGCCATTAGACCCATTTTATCCCAACCCTACCGTCTGTGACAGGGCCTCGGTATGGGGAGTTCAATTTAGAGACTGTCTCTGGACCCTGTTCTCAAGCGACCTCTGCTGCCTTCTTTGGATGGCAATTCTGCAGTTCCCAGGTCAAGTGCTACTCTTAAGTGGGAACACAGTGTTCTCTGTCCTTTGGGTAAAGGCACGTAGGTGGGCAGGGTGGTGTTGCCGAGAGTGATGCTGTTAGAAGCTCACCAGCAGTGGGGGTAAGAGAAGAAGGAGCATAAGTCTACCCAGGGACCTACTATGGATCTTCCCACATCCTCTGATTGCTAGGGATGTGTGAGATTTGCCTGATATGTGCCTGGGTGTTCTGGGGTGTCAGGCCAGCCAGGTGTCCAGTACAGAAACCTTTGGCCAGGGGTCTGGATCAATCATTCAGTCAGTCAGTCATCAAACACACCCTCTATACCCACGTCCATGCCTGGCGCTGGAGCCACAGAGATGCATCAGTTGTGGTCTCTGCCCACAGGGAACTCACAGCCTGGCTCTTTGGTACAAGGGAGCTGTCTCTATTGGGTCAGGAATCTTCTTGGAGAAGGATGCTAATTACTCACACATGGGAACCCTGGGTGGCTCAGCAGTTTAGCGCCTGCCTTCAGCCCAGGGTGTGATCCTGAAGACCGGATCGAGTCCCACATCAGGCTCCCTGTGTGGAGCCTGCTTCTCCCTCTGCCTGTGTCTCTGCTTCTCTCCCTCTCTCTCTCTCTCTCTCTGTATCTCTCACAAATAAATAAATAAAATCTTTTAAAAAATAATTACTCACACTTTTCATTCCCCACTTACTCTGAAACCTAGATCAAGACCTGGTCTGTTTTGGCCCAGCTCTGCCAGAGCCAGTGACCATCCAGGCCTCGCAGTGGTCTCCTACTGCAGTTTCATCCCTCTTTTTGCTGTCACCTCTGAGGGTCTCCCCTTGAGAAGTCCCACCCTGGGCACTCTCTCTCCATCATCCTGAGGACCTCCCTGCCAGTGGTCAGTGCCGAGGACCGGTTCATGCTCTCTTCCTTTTCTGTTCTCATCTTCCACATTCTCTTTTTGTGTCTGCCTGTCTTCCTCTCCTGTCTTCTCTTTCTGCCCCCTCCTTGTCCTACACTCCAAACCTACCCCCATCCCCGCTCTTCTTTAGTTGGATAGCCAGGTTTCCTGTCCGAGTGCCTTGTCTCCAACCAGCACTTCGGGGGCTTCTGGTGTGGGGAGTGTCTTCCCTTCTTCCTCTCCCTGTCTGCCTCTTCTCTGCTTCTGCCTTTCCTCCTTCCCCGGGCTTCTCCTTCTTGGACCTCTGACCCCAGGCTTCTCCCAACCACCTCTCCTCACTCCTTCCCCCTCTTTCCTTGCCTTCATCCCTTCCTTCCTTCTCTGGCTGAAGGAAGGTGGGTGCCACCATGCCTCTAGAGAGAACCTGCCAGAGCTCCCTGTCCCCATCATGATGTCGCTGCCCGCTCTCTGTCCCGACACCCTGGACCCCCCCAAACCCCCAGAACTTTCTTTGTGCTCCTTCACCGTTCATCATTACCACTGCCTTTCCTGCCTTCTCATTGCCTTCCTTCTCCCCTGGGGGGTTTCCTCAAGCCTCCCGTGGCCTCTGATGGGGTTCTCTGCAGGCTTTCATCACACCACCTTGCTTCCCCAAATCCTCCAGCACCTTCATTCTCTCCATCACCCCCCCATGCCCTTCCTCCTCCTATTCTCTTTGCCCCGCCTCCTGCTGCCACCTCTTCCAGAAGCAGCCTTCCCTTTCTCCCTCCCCCTTCCATCACCACCGCTGCCTCTGTAACCTGTCTTATCACCAGGGCCTGAGTATACAAAAAAAATAAATAAATAAAAAGGTCAGTGAGTGGAGGGAGCGGCAATAACCCCTAAAACAGTACTATCAGTGGAACATGATTGATCAATTGAATTCCATAGCGGCTGAAAAATGTGGGATTAAGTAGTGTATTATACGCACAATGAGTTGAGGCATGATGTTCATTTCAAGTTCATTTCGCCGGCCTCTGCCACCAGATCAGGCAATCAATAGGGGCAGCAGATATCATATATCACCTCTCTGCGGGCTGGGGAGAGAGCACCATAATCTCTCGCAAATTTAGAGTGACAGATTTGTCAAGATCTGAAGGGCCCCTGAATAAATGAAGGAAAAGAGACTCCTCCAGCCAGTGACCTGAGGACAAAGCTTCAGTTCAGCCCCTATACACACACACACATGCACACGCACACACATACACACAAGGTTGAGCCAAGCCACACACAGGCTTATATACAAATCCACACAGAGGCACGATATGAGCCTTCCCACACATGTGCACACACCCATGCACATAATGTATGAGCACATGCTCACAGACAAATGCACACTTTCTTTCCCAGGGCCCATTTGGTGATACTGCAACAACCACACACAAAGACACTGCTGCCTCCCTAAGCCCTAACAGCAGGGCTTCCCAAAAGGTAGGAAGACTCCAACAAGAGAGGATTAGACACAATGGAACATGCAAATAGCTTTGAGGGGTAGAATTAGGATGATGGCACATCCTTGAAAGAAAAGCAGGCACAGAAAAAACATGGGGCACATGAGCTCATGCTCCCCATACAATCACACATGTACATACACACATTCTTTGAGAATAGTTCTCACTCTGTCATTTACACATACACAGATGCATATTTATCTGGATGTTTATATATTACAAGTGTATTTACACAGAGAACACCCACATAAAAGGAAAAACTAAATATGCCACACCCTAACTCATGTAAGAGAGACACACACACTCTCTAAGACAGAAAAACATTCCTGGGGCTTAGACACTAGAAAAACACAACAACCAAGTTTTGTGTCTCTAGGAATGCCAGGAACATGGAAATACCATGGAGCCTACTTCTGTGTCTGTCTATCTACCTCAGACTCAATCTTGGGCTTCATTTCTTTCTCTCTTATACACACACACACACACACACACACACACTTTTTTTGCTTTTCCACCTCCTGAGGAACAGAGTGGAGAGAAGACAGCAGGTCCCATTTGGAAAGCAGACCCCCATGCTCCATCTGGGAGGGCAGAAGAGAGGATGGCTGCAGGATGAGGTTAATCAATATGTAATATTTTCTATGGTCTCCTGAATGATACTGTACGGTGTTACTGTATATAATGCAATATTGATTATATCATATCGTATAATCACCTATAAACTGATATATATAACAGTCCCGGAGGAATACCCTGAGGCCTACAGCGTGGGCTGGCCCCAGGCCCAAGGCTCCCTGGTGGCTCTTGAGCTGAAGGAAGCCAAGGAGCGGCCACACTGTGGCTGGGGAGGACTCAGCTTCGACCTGGAGAGTTGCTGGGTAGGGGTTCAGACAGAGAGAGAGAGCAGGCACTTAGCTCACTGTGTGCTCTGAAACCCTAACAGAACTGATGCACGGGTGCCAGGATGGGGGGGAAGGTAACAGAAAGCCTAGGTCGAGCTGGACGTGGACAGAATTGTCCTGCAGCCCCAGGGAGCGGGCATTAGTGTGGCACTGCCATGGCCTTTCCTTCGCAGCGTGAGTCTCAGCTCTCTGTGAGACCCACAGGAGGAACTGGCGGGGCTTGAGGGGCTGGCCTCCGACAGAGACCTAGTCAGAGTCCGGGTCAGAGACAGAGGCTGAGGAGGACAGTCTGGGCACAAGAGTACCCACGATGTCTCTGCCCAAGGCCGTGTTTCACTGCTCACGTGCCACCTGCTGTCCTCCTGCTCTGCTCGCAGTCCTGGCCCCATGCAAGCAGAATGCTTCAGCTTGACTTTCAGAATCCCTCCTCCCTCGGCGGTGAAGTTAATTACCTCACCCAGCCTCCAGGTTACACTCAGCCTCGGAGATTTGATGATTTTCCACCCTTGGAGTCAGTGGAACTGAAATTCATCTCAGAGCCGAGTTCAATTCTCCACAGGCTCAATGATGCTGGTCTGAGCCACCCAGCTCCTCCCCCAGGCTGACGCAGGCCTGGGGACAGCAGGGGTTCAGGGGAAACATCTCCAAGGAGACCCCCAGCTGTACCTCTGCCCAGTGTTCCCGCAGTGCACCCCCCCTCCCCACACACTGGGACAACTTCCCATTCTCCCCCGAGGTCCTTCAGAGGCTCTGGCTCCCCCAGCCAGATCTCTGAGGCATGGTCAGCCCCTGGGCCAGCTGCTCCAGCCTAGAAGCTGGGAAGTCGGTAGGAAGCAGCCCCCTGGACTTGCTGTGCCTCTGCTGGCCCATGCTGATGTCCCCACTGTGCCTGTGTCTTCTAGATGTGTCCGAGGGCTCAGTCCCCAATGGAGACTCCCAGAGTGGCGTGGACAGTTTGCGGAAGCACTTGCGAGCTGACACCTTCACCCAGCAGCAGCTGGAAGCTTTGGACCGAGTCTTTGAACGTCCTTCCTACCCTGATGTCTTCCAGGCATCGGAGCACATCAAATCAGAACAGGTGAGAAAGAACTTTCTGCTGTCAGGAGTGGACAGAAACTGGGCAGAACAGGCCTCTGGAGAACGTGCGTACCCAGCATTGCACATGCTGCATATGGGTGCACCGTGCATGTGCTGTGTGGGCACACTCACATAAGGACATTATGGTAGAGTTAGGAAAAGCCATTATGGTACATGGCTGTCGGAAATGTTAAGTTCTGGGTGCTAGGATGGTCTTGGATAAGCCTTGTCACCTTTCAGAGCCTCCGTGTCCCCATCTGTAGAACGGAGGACTTGGGTAAGGTCTAACAGGTCCCTTCCAGCCCTGCCATTCCATGCGTCTGGCATGGAATACTCAGGAAACATCCTTATCCCCTTGCCATATCCCAGAGGCCTTACAGAAAGTTTGTGCAACCCCGGGGTGCTCTTCTCACCTGATATCAGAAGGAGAGGCCCCAATGCTTGCCTCCTGCCCCCAAATCCAGCTGTCCAGCATGACTTGACAGCCTACCCCGCAGGCCCCATACTTCCTCCAGATGCAGAACAGCCCCTCGTGGGTCACAGCCCACAACACATTAGCACAATACACAATGTAGGAACATACCTCCTAACTCCTCACATTTACCCATGTGCACGTGTTTATACACCACACAGACACCTGCTCCCTCCCCCCACTCACAGCTCACAGGACTCAAAGCACAGCCCCCAGGTCAGCGGGAAGAGGTGCCTTCTCCCATACCATAGCTCCGCATACATCCAGCGCCACCTCCAGCGCCTGCCTCTACCCACACATCCATAGAGGCCCCCCATGCACACACTTGAAGATAGGAGCACACACCCATTCCTCCCACGCCTATAGCCCAGGCCTGACCCACACTGCCGCACAACACAGTCAGCTGGGCTTGCACGCACACACACTCATGCACACACTGCGCACTCGCACACCTGCGTGGCCCCGCAGGCTCTGCACGGCACAGTTCCGCTCTAGGACTCCAGCAGCTCCCAGCCACTCGCCTTCCTCTCCGCCCGTCCTTTTATCCCATAAGCTGTTTGTCTTCATAAAACAAAAATCAAAAGTCTTTTTAAGGTGCCCTGAGCCATAAACCAACAAAGGAGGAGCCGGCCGAGGCGGGCGGCTCGGAGCACCCTCCACGAGTCCCTGGCTGTATTACAATGAATAACCTTTATTTACTTTCATTAGACTATTAAACACCAGCACAGTCATTTTTCCCCCTGAAACTCGGAGCAGGGCCCATAAAGCAAATCCGAAGCCTAATTGAGTTCATTTTAATTTCTCTCCGATCACAGCGAATTACTCTGGTGATAAATCAGGGGGCAGCTTCACCCCCAGTAGAAGGCCTAATTTGCAGCTAATTACAAAACTGATTTCTACAGGAAGATCAATACGAGAAGGAATTGGAAATGACGAGGCAATCCCGGCCAGCCAGGGAGGGGAGGGGGCCCTCTGGGGGGGCCAGGAAGCGGAAGGGAAAAAAACGGACCCGAAAGAGCAGAAAATCAGTTTTAATTTAACGTAATATTAATCAGAGCAACTTTTCCTGCTTTGTGCAGGCTCCTGGTCGGCCCAGCTCCGGGGTCTGGCTGAGCGGTGACGGCAATAAAAAGGCAATTACCCGAGTGTTTCGGGCAGGACACTCTTTCAGAGGCAATGACTGGCCCCCTCCCACCCTTCTGTTAGCCATGTGGACTCTCCCCCTCCCCAATTTCATACCCCAGTGCACAGGCAGAGAGCGAGGGGCCCGTGGGGCTGTCTTTGTTTGTTTTTTAAAAAGGGGGCGCCAGCACCCGATCAGCCAGCCCAGCAGTGCCAGGCCAGAGGCCCCCATCGGCCCTTCCCCCAGCTTTTGCCTGAGCCATCAAGTGCTGGTTCTCCCCTCCTCCCCAAGACTCCAGGGGGACCTGGAAACATCCCTTGCCTCTCAGCAGGGGGGACCCAACTGCTACACTCCACCCTTGGGGCTTCTTAGGTGGGAGATGCTACAGCAGTTTAAAGGGTCCTGAGATCACCACCAATTATGTGCAGGCTGCACCTCTAGCTACCCAGAGTCAGGTGTGCCCCCACCCACACAAAAATCTCCATCATCCGCTGAGCCCGCCCCTCCCTCTCTCCCCTCCCTCTGCCTGGCCATCTCCTTCCACCCCATCTGGGAAGGCTCCCTGTTCCTCCTCCCCATCTGCACACCGAGCCCTTTCTCCGCATGTGCGCATCAATAGAGAGCTGTCTCTTTTCTCTCTTCTCCCAGGGGAACGAGTACTCCCTCCCAGCCCTGACCCCTGGGCTTGATGAAGTCAAGTCGAGTCTATCTGCATCCACCAACCCTGAGCTGGGTAGCAACGTGTCAGGCACACAGACATACCCCGTTGTGACCGGTAAGGAGGCTTTCAGGAGGGTGGGGGCACTGCTTTCAGTAGGGGCACCTTAGCCCTTGCCATCTGGGGCCCAGTGTGACAGGTGGGCCCCCTGCCATGATATCTGCAGAGAGAGTGAGCACCTCCAAAAACCAGGGTGCTTCCTGAACAGATGTGTGCAGATGTGAGGAGCAGAAATTGTGGTCAGGGTCTCTCTGTGTGCTTCAGCCGGGGAAGGTCGAAGCTAGGAGGAGCTGTTGCTGGTTCCTTCTTTCTGCCTATCCTCTTGCCTCTCTCTTTGCCGTTTCTCTTGCCTCCACCAGGGTGCCCAGAATTATAAGCTTCTTGCTAGGACGTGCACAGAAGAATGCAGAGGGTCAATAGGCCAGGCTGGGGAGAATGGGACAGTGTCCAGCCTCCACACTCCCATGCCTTCAAGGCTCCTAGGGCAGGGGTGGGTGTCTGCCTTTCTCTCTCTCTCTAGGCACCCTGGGTAGCTGGGGCTTTGGGCTTCAGAGCATGGCATTCAGCTCTGTGGTTATAGATAAGCACAATTATCCCAGTCCTTCTCCTGCTTACCAGAGAAATCACTGAGATGAGGCTTGATTTCAAGGCTAGGTAGGGTCAGGCCTGTTCCACAGCCAAATGCAGGGGGAGAGGACATCTAGTTCAGCTGCTCCCATGGATGAGGAGCAGTGGAGGTATCTAGCAGGGTAGCAGGCACAGCCAAGGGCCTAGCTGAAGAAGCTCTAGGCCGCAGAGCTGAAGGCTGTGGAAGGCGCCTGGCACCGCAGAAGGGTTTCCGGGCCAGGAAAGTGCCCAAGTGGGAGAAACACACATTGAGGTGTTATTAAAATTCACCTAATTATTCTGGAGACACTAAAGCCAATGTGCCGTTTGTTCCTTGGGAGACAGAATGATTGAGAAGGGTCTCGATGGGGATTGGGAGACACTGAGGCGTTACCTGCCGAGCGAGGCAGGTAGAGGCGGCCCAAGGATCGGCAGCAGGACTGCCAGCAGCCAGCCTCACAGCCAGGTGCAGTGGCGGGGAGCAAGGTCCTGGTTCTGACTTGGTGCTGATCTGAGTAGGGCTCAGGCCTGAGATGGGGTGTGAGTGGCCCTCCAGCCTCCACGCAGGGTCTTGGGGGAGCCCTGTCCTTAGCTTTCCCTGGCTCTCCTCAAGGGGTGTCCAGGTACTGCTGTTTCTGGCCCAGACAGGGTTGAGCTCTTTGGCTAGGCAACCAAAGTTTGCCTAGGGGTTGAGTTCTGGAAGTGTCAGAGAACTGGATGGGGCTTCTGGGAGTGACAACCTTAGCTGTCTCAGGACACGGCCTGTTATCAACTGGCCCTCGACACCAGCCTGCCTTAGCCAATGTGGGAGCCTGCCTTAGCCAACATGGAAGCCCTCTGAGCTGCTGGGTGTTCTGACCCAAGGCAGGCAGGTGGTACAGGCCAGGCCACCTTTCTGAGCTGCTGAGTGTTTCAGTGGCTGCTTCCTGAAGGTATCCCACCCCAGACAGCTGACAAAAGAGAGCCTAGGAGACTTTTCTAATCCCAGCTGCGCTTCTCTGGGCCCGGGGCCACAGTCCAGAAGGCAGGGGGCTCCCCTGGGGGTGGAGAGATGGATCTTCGGGTAGGGTTCCTGCTGCAGGAGAACTCAGGGCTGGTACAGAAAAGTGCCTCCACCTTGAGCATCCCCCGCCCGCCTCCCCCCCATGGCCCTGGAACGGTCCCAGCTCAGCCTGGGAACATCTCCGGCTGATCCATCTGGATCCAAGTGTGAGAAAAGTTCATTTCAGACCCAGCTTGACATTCCCAGGTGGCAAGTTAGCACTAACATCTCAATCTGTATGCGACATTTCAATCAAGCGAGGAGTAACAAAAGCAGAACCATTAACATTCGGAGCTGTTCACCAGTGGTAATGACGGGAAACTCACTCAGAAACTGGAAATTACCAAAAAGAGAGAAGTGTGTGGAGAGGTGGGGGAGGGGAGGTGGGAAGAGGTGGGGGCAGGGAATGATTTTTCTACACTTAGGCCAAGATCCAATGTTTGGATTAATGGTGCCATTACCAGAGAAAGGGCTGCAGATTATGCTCATTCTTAAAATGTTTTTGCTGGCAATTAAACGGCTGCAGTTATTGATCTTTGTTGATTTTATGTCCTCCTAATTTGCATAATCTATTAAAGATGAATGATTCATGATGTGTTTATTATGGGGACAAACAGAATTTGCTGGAGGTATTGTCGAGGTGAGAAACGGGGCAGTGTCCAGAGACTTCATGGGCCACCTCGGTAGAGGGTCCAGCATGGTGGCCTTCAGGCCAGGACTCTGTGGGTAGCAGTGAGCAGTAATGCAAGGTGAGCAGACACAAGAGAGGTGGACTTGGGCTGTGTTCTTCTAGAAAGATCTTGGCATCTGTGAAAACTTCGAGCACAGCTGGCATAGGGGTGAGGCTTTTGGTGTATTTGGAGAAATTCCCCTTGAAGATTCTTAAAAAGCTTATTTTGTTGGAGAAGATGAAGGACTTTGGTAGGGAAAGGGAAGGGGAGGCTCTTCCCGGCCAGGTGTGTGCTAAAAGCAAGGAGCAGGGAGGTCATCTGTGTCCGCACCCTGGCTCAGGTGTGCTAAGGCGTTCAGCCCCTGTGTCTCGGGCACCCGGCTCATCTTCCTCCCCGGAGACCGGCAGCGGAGGCTATAATTCAGGGATCAGCCCTGGGGAAACCGGCCCAGCAAGGCCCTAGCCCAACCTGAAGAGCCAACCTTATTGATATTCCTGCCACCTCCTGGCACTGGAGGCTGATTTCAAACTTCACCAGCCACTTGATACAGCTGTTCCACAAGGTCAGGACTGAGAGGAGAGAGGAGCCTGGGCTATTGTGTGGAGGGGAGAGTGGGGCCCAGTGGGCCAGGACACAGCTAATCACATTGCAAGCAAGGGTGGCTGCCAGTGGCCGGGGCTTGGCCTGATAGTCTCCCCTCCCTACCTTCCATCTTGGAACCAGAGAGAGAGACGGCTTTTTCTGGGTAGTGTTTGCAAGTTCTGCCGAGATTTTAATTTCACTGCATCACAACTCAGCAAGCTGCCAAGTCAAGCTGGTTATTTAAATTTATCACCCACTTTCCCTTCCGCCGCTGGGCTGCTCTAGCTCAGCGGCATCTCTTCTCTCCAGCCCACTGCTCTAGGCTGCTGGTCTGGAACGGAGCCGAGGCTCTCCGAAGTGATAAGGAAAAAGGGACCAGCTAGATGAGAGAGTGGGTTGGGGGTACTCTGGCCCCAGACCTCCTCAGTTCGGCCGGCGGTGGCTGGAACCTTCTGTCATGTTCTTACCCTTCCAAAGGACCCCAGAGGGGGCTGTCATCGACCCCTTGGTAGCCCCAGAGACCTCTGGGTCAGGACTTGAGTGAGGACTCTGGCTCTAGCTGTGTGCTAGTGCCTTCAAGTCTCCCAACACTGGTAGAAAAGGGCCCCTCATCCCCATGACCTTCACCTCGACCTCTCCCTTCCTCTGCCTGTCCCCGTCTACAGTCTACAGCCACAGAGGAGCATGAGGGGACGTTGGCAGCCCCATTGATCTGGGAGAAGATGGATTCTAGTTTCAGGATTCCCTAAGTCCCTTGGAGAGGCGCCTGAGCACTTAGAGAGTCCCTTGGCCTGGTGAAAGTCTACCGTGAAGGTGAGAGCAGGCTCCCTACCCTGGAGGCCAGATGCAGTGAGACGGGGATTGTGTGGCGGCTGTCCATGCAAACCCCAGTAGCCCCCGAATCTGTCAGCCCTTTCCTGGCCTCCGGTGGGCATCACCACCGAGTGCCAGGAGAGCTCGGAGTGTAGTTCTTGCCGTCCTCCTTTTAGTCCTAGAGAGGTCCTGGAGGAACAAGATCGATGTTCAGGAACAAGGCAGGCTACACTCACCAAAATGCAGCTGGCTAAAAATGTGACAAAGGAGTTGTTAACACACAAGAAACCTCACTCTCTGGGCCACAAGTAGAGGGAAACTCAAAGTCAGAGCAAAATGTGAGAGATTGATGGAGGTGGACCCTAAGTGGGGGAGACTGCGGTTGTGACCCAGCAGACAGGAGCTGTGACTTGGGGTGCAGGAGAAGCAGGAAGCTAGAACTCAGTGCTACCCTGCCTAAAGCCAGGCACAGAGCAGGACAACACTATCCGTGAAGGGGAAACACACAAATTATGCCAGTAATCCCAGGAAGCAAGCGAGTGAAAAATTGTCTCCATGAAAAATGGAGCCCCCAAGCCTGACCCTGGTTCAGAGTCCAAATTTATACCTGAGTATGTGGCAGGAACCCCCAGCCAAGAACTGACATAAAAATTTGTCTAAGATAATAACCCACTCAGAAACCCCAGCGTGAACAAGGGCAAACCTTCTCTGCAGAGGCATTCCCCAACCCGGGGCATGTGGGACTCCATCACTAAAGATGAGCTTACTACAAAAAATTATACACCTCCTATGAATACAGACTTTTCACGAGGGAGAGTTAGCAGAAGCAATGAAGAGGACGATTAATACCCCCAAGAACTGGAGATAATAGAACAGTCCAAAAGCAAGTATAAAATAAGCACATTTCATATTCTAAAAAAAGATAAAAGAAAAGTATCAGGGGCTCCTGGGTAGCTCAGTCAGTGAAGTGTCTGCCTTGGGCTCAGGTCATGATCTCAGGGTCCTGGGATCGAGTCCCGTGTCAGGCTTTCTGCTTGGTGGGGAGTCTGCTTCTCCCTCTCCCTCTGCCACTCCCCCTACTTGTGCTCTCTCGCTCTCGAGATCTGTCTCTCTAATAAGTAAATAAAATCTTTTTTTTTAAGATTTTATTTATTTATTCATGAGAGACACACAGAGAGAGGCAGACACACACACACACACACACACACACACACACACAGAGGCAGAGACAGGCAGAGGGAGAAGCAGGCTCCATGCAGGGAACCTGATGTGGGACTCAATCCCAGGACTCCAGGACCACGCCCTGGGTCGAAGGCAGGCACTAAACCGCTGAGCCATGCAGG